GACGGAAATTCCTGCCACGAACATAGTTTTGGCACGCCCGGTGGGATCTAAACTTCCAGATCTTGCATGTCCAAAAAGAAGAACCATAAACTTGGTAAAAAGAATCCAAAGGAAGGTCTTCTCCAAATGGCAGAACAATCAGAAAATCCTTCTTCCCCATCCGGACAGGTGGTTTCAGATAGCCCGACTGCATCTGAAAGATCACAAGGAAAATGAAGCAATGAAGAGCTACAAGCTACAATGATCCAAGTGTTAAAGAGCATGGAAATGATCTCCCTGTAAATAAAGGGAGAAGTAAGCAGACTCTGTATGCTCACAGGGAATCTACAGAGAAGGCTTGATTTGGAGTTCTCTACTCCAAAGGGTGCTCAAGGAAGTGGAATGAGCCAGGTTATCACAAGAAATGAGCCAATCATTCTCTTATTCCCACTACTAGAAGAAGCAGGAGACAGGGGAAAGAAAAAGGTAATTCCTGAAGGAAGTCAACCAGTGATGGAGCCGATTCCGGAGAAAGAGTTTCCCAGTTTCCCATTATTATCATTTAATAATAAGGGGCAGAATGAACAAGAAAGGATGAGGTACGGAATGCCAGGTATGATGGGAGAAACTAGTGGAAAGGGGACTACCACTACTACTTCATATAAACCTCCACCCTATAGGCCACCCCCGATGGTCAATAAAGGTGGAGGATCTAATTGGAGGAAGCCCGAACCAAGGAGAGAAGCAAATGCGGGCAATGACCGGAGCCCGAAGATTGAATCAGCTATCCTCGGTCATAATGATAATTTGGCCACTCAGCAACTAAGGGAGGAATTGGCTGAGTTAAGAAGAACGGTGACTCAAAACGCCCAGCCGCGGGCTCGCCCAGTATTCAGGATTACTTACCAGAAGCCGTATCCTGAATATATCGACGAGCTAAATCCATTCCCTCTCAACTTCAAGATGCCCGCATTCCCTACCTTCACAGGTGAAGACAGCAGTGTGTCATCCAGAGACCATATTTTCAAATTCTCCAATCACTGTGTGGCGTATGAGGACAATCTAAACTACAAATTGAAGTTGTTTGGAAATTCATTGGCAGGATTAGCGTCTCAATGGTATTCTCTATTACCCCCAAACTCTATTGCCAACTGGGGGTAAATGGAGATGGCTTTCCATGAACAGTTCTATAGAATAGAGCCAGAATTGACCATCAATGATCTAGTGGAGGTAAAACAATACGATCATGAGTCCACGGAAGACTTCATGATGAGGTTCAGAAGGACAAGGATGAGATGCCAATTCCCCGTCAATCAAGCACAGCTCATATCCATTGCTCAAAGGGCTTTAAATTACCTTTGAGAAAAATGTTTTATGATGCACAGTTTAATGAGCTGCAAGAACTCGTGATTGCTGCCACGAAATATGAGAGGTTGTTGCAAGAGGAACAGCAAATGAAGCACACTTCCAAAGTCCCTCATTTCTACAAAAGCAAGGCTACTATTCACCATGTGGAGGTGAGAGAAACCAGCCCCGAACGCAAGGATGGTCATGAGGAAGAAAATATAGATGTATGTGCTGCTGAGATGACCACACCCTTCAAACCATTGACGATCAAAGGGTTAGTCCAACCTGTCAAAGATCAGAAGATCGTGATGAATGATGGTGGTTTCGTCCCCATGAAACCCCCAAAGTATCAGAGTTATTCGTTCGATTTAACCAAGGCACCGGAGATCTATGAAGAATTGGTGCGGGCAAGAGTAATTTTGCCCGACAGTGCCAAAAAGATGCCCAAGCCCGAGGAACTCAGGGGGAAAAAGTATTGCAAGCTGCATTATACCTTCAACCATTCTATAGTTAATTGTGTCCAGTTTAGAGATTGGGTACAAGATCTTATAGTGAAAGGGAAGCTATTGCTTGACTCACCCCAAGCCAGTATGATGGTGGACACTAACCCTTTTCCGGAGGCTCCTATCAATATGATCAACCTCATTTTTAAGGAGCCGGGGGTATCGGCTGAATAGAGGTGCCATGAGGGGACCAGAGGACCAGGGGCAGATTATAAGGTTGTCAACAAGGAAGATGAAGGAGAAAAGTGCGTAGACAGAGGGGGCAAAGAACTGCCCAAAGTCAATTCAGACATGGTAGAGCAAGAAGCAAATTACATGTTCATTCCAATACAAAAGGAGTTACAAATCATTCTATTCTAAAAACTTTACATCTTCACATAAAGTGATTATTCTAGAATGATATGTTCGCATGATGGTAAAAATCCTACTAGGTTCGGCCAAGACAGTATGGTTGTTTACAAGTTGGGACTTGGCTTGCTCTAACTCCGAAGTCGCTTTCTCTACCCCTTCGATTTGGTGTTCAAGGGTGTCTAGAAGAGTTGCTTGTTCTGCCTTAAGGGCAATCAGTTGCTCTTCCAGCTTCTGGATTTCAGAAGAAACCACTTTAACCCTTTCTTTGGTCTGCATGCTTTCTTCCATCAGCCGGTTAACTTGGGTAGAGGAGTTTGATTCTTTCTCCATAAAGCATTTTGCCCGGTTAGCCTGTCTGTCCGCTCTCTGGTATTGTTCCCTGAGGGCCCTCAAGTTTTCAAAGAAAGAGAGGAAAGAATCATGTTGAGGCTTTGATAACCGACCGGTTCTGAAGGACTCAGTTATGATCTTCTCCAAATCACAAAGAGCCCTAAGGCTGAATGAAGCGGTGAAGTCTTTCCTTGCCCATTCCTGAAGGACTCACTGTTGTTCTGAAGAAATGGGGGTAGCTGAAGATTGTCTTGAGGATTTCAACCGCGTCTCAAGCCGTCCAAGTGCTTCGAACAGTCTGGGCAACTTAGCAGGGCGTGGAGGTGTGAAAGAAGGAGAATCCTGCACTGCAGCTTCCTCTAATGAAGGAATGCCCATTGAGGGGGCAATTTCTGCATGCCCGACCTGCTCAATACCAGAAGGAGGAATCGCAGTACCTCCAGAAGAATGAGGATGGGAGCGCTTTAATTTACGGACCAGATGGGGGGGAGAAGTTTCTCTTGAAGTTTGCTGTAGAAAGCCAAAAGACCAGGTCAAGACAATTGGAATATGGTTTGAGGTAAAAGAAATTCTGGAGAGGAGAAATCTACCTGACTCAGCCCCGGAGTTTCACCAGAGAATGTACTAACTCTTGGTTGGGGTGAAGATTCTTCACCACTAGCAGGAGAAGAGAAAGCTGCGCCTGAACCTGTACCAACATCCTAGAGTTATCCAAAGAAAATAGTAAGTGTCAGTAAAAGGATCACAAGAGAAAAGCAAGAAGAAAATATTCCTGTACCTGAGTCTGATCTTGGGGAGCAGAAGGAGGTTCATCGACTGTCGGGCAAGCAAACGCCTGGGAGATTGCTACCTCTGAAGCTACTGGGATCTCAGGGACTATGGGTTCATCATCTGGAACCACTATTGAAGGGGGTGGCTCATATACTGGAGAAGGCTGTCGAGAACATAAGTGAAAGTTAGTTGGGAAGCAATGCACAGAAGTTCAAATATGGAGTATGCGACTCACCAAGTTACTATCTTCATCAACGAAGTGCAGCATAACTCCTATGGATGGATCAAATTGAGAAGAAGAGGTTGCATCCAGAGCAGTAAAAGAGGTCATGGACCTCAGAGGAGGGCCATGACAAGGCAAGGAAGCGGATGCTCCAGCCTAACAATATTCAGACATTAGGTCCAGAAGTTAGAAAATTATCCAAGAATCAGAAGAGAAGAAAAATCACCTCTGTAGGGTCGACTTGAGAATGAGGTAAGCTTGTCTCTCGGGCAGGTTGTGGAGAGGCCTCGGGCGAAGAGAGCAATTCTTTCCTCGCAGCCTGAGTCAGAGTAATCAAATTCAGAATTGTATGAGAGCAAGAAGAGGCCTAAAGAGAAATATATAAATCATACCTCAAGTTCTCTGAGGGTAGTATTTTGCAGATCTTCGGCCTTTTTGAGCATTGCAGCTCTTAGAGGTTCCTCTTTAGAAGCAAGGATTGGTCTTTTAGATGTTTGGGGTCCTGTTCACCGATGAAGGAAACAATTAGATAAGTGGGAAAGGTAACAGTTTGAAGAAAAACAGAAACTCACTTGAGGATTGTTGCTTCTTCCTGCCGGCCTCAGGAACTGATGGGGTTAATAACTTAGGAGGAGCGATAGTTCTTGCTCTCTTATTTTTTCTAGTAAGAATTGGTCGGGTGGTTTTGGGTAGAGGTACTGGATCAGGATCTGAAGTCTTGGTCACAGCCGCTTTCTTTCGCTTAGGTGCTTTGATAAGAGCTTCAGGTGTTTCTTCAGCTCCTGAATCCCCAAAGGATTCTGAGACATCTGCACCCTCCCCAGCTTCTCGTTTCCCAGCTTCTGCGGTAGCACCATGAAGAACTGCAGCATCAGCGGAGTCATTCTTTGATTCAATGGCTTCAGATTCAATATCCACTGGAGCTGCAGAATCAAACAAAAGTAAGGGAAGATGGACATCAGAGGAGAAACAAAATCAGATGGAAAGAGAAGTACCTATCAGAAGTGACCAGTTTTTCTCCTGAATCATCTCCTTCCAATTTGCAAGCTCGCCCGAGCCAGGATATGATTTAAGAGAAAGCTGGTTAAAGATGCGATCGTGATTCACCTTCAAATCTCCTCCATACTTTTTAGTCCATTTGTCCTCCACCAAGAGGAAAACAACGAGGTACATTCAAAATTAAGAACAACAACGAAATTTCGGGCTGCTTGACTCATTACATCCAGGCTGCGTCGGGCGGCTCGGAATGTCACTTCAGGTGGAGTTTGTAACCGGAATGAGGTGCCACAATGGACAGAGTCAAATAATGGGACAGGTATGGCTTGCCTAAATCCTAACTGCCTGCTGCAGAAGTTAGGATGGTACACTTCCAAGCCTCGATCATATCTATTGCCCCGAACCTCCCAGGCCAAGTCTCTCGGTTGAATGCAGCTGATAAATTTTTCCCTGCAAAAGGGGGTAGCATCCTCACCAGGGGCATCTTGGAAGGCTTGGTCAGAGAACCAAGGATATCTCCTCAAGACTGACGCACCCCATTCCAAGTCTGATCGAGTCCTGCAGACTCTGAAAAAAGTAAAAGCAGGCAAAGGTAGAATGGTCTACAGGAGGAGCTTCAGCCAGGATTCGGGCAGGAGCCACACCCTCTGGGAACTCCAGATTAGCAGCCCGAAATTCTGGAAAATACCATTGCAGCCAGATTTGTATCATCCAGATAGGTCCATTCAAGTTGGTCTCGAATGGCTCGTCTCGAGTCATTTCAAAAAGAAGGTGATAGAGATGAGAAAGAAGGAATGGACCTGTAGCTACATCATCAAAATTGTGAAGAACCTCTACCAAGGGGATCCATTCTACCCTCACTCCTTTAGATTTGTTGGGGAAGATGTGCTTGTTGAGCCAGTATAAAAGAAAATACATATGCTCTTGATCTTTGTCAGCCCGAGGGGAATCTGCCCCAAAATTTTCCTTTACAAAAAGAATGAATCCTTTAAAGGAGGTCCCATAACTCTTGAAAGTGGCGGAGTTATAGCTCAGAGGAAGGAAGGGGGTAGATGAACTCGAGCTCCCGGTGGTAGGGGACGGAACCCAATCTTGAGTGACGTCCACTATCCTGCCCGATAGCCTTAAACCGAAGACCTGGGCCATGTCAAGAATGGTGGGAGACGTGGGGCTCATATGGAAATCGAAAGTATTTGTGCCCGTATTCCAAAAGAGGAGGGCAGAAGTAACTAATTCGGGCTTAGAGATAACGGAAGTCTTCGAAAGCATGATCAGTTCATAAATACCGTTACTCATCCATTTCTGCATGAAGGAAGGCTCTAATTCGTCAACCCACTGGGCCCAGGTAGGATCATTCATCAAGGGAAAGCCTCGACGATATGATGACCATTTCGAAGAGGAGATGCCCGAACTAGCCGAATAGGGATTTGGGGTAAACCAGTTCTCCCTAGGCATGTTGCTTTCCACCACTGAGGGGACCCGAGAAATCCAGGCGGGGCCCAACGACTGTACTCCATGCGTCTCAAAGAATAGCTCAGAATGTAAACCTGCCCGCGGACGATGCAGCCCATTGAGTAGACGGCATAGAGTGGCGATTCCGTCGCCGGATTCGTAAGATGGTGGGGTTTGGCTGGATCCTTAAGCCATTTGGTGAAGGTCGAGAGAGAAAACAAGGAAGATGATAAGGATGCAACCTTGTCGGGCAACAGAGAATAATGGTGGGGAGAAGCAGGAAAGTTTTTAATCACAGAGGGATTTCTTTCTACGGAACACAGAAAATTGAGAAGTTCAATCGCGAGGGTTTCGTGGGTTTAATTAGGAGTTTCTTTCAATTAATATTGGCGCCTGGAATTCCAGGTTTAATATCAATTGAAGGGGGCACTGTTTGGATTAAAACTTGATTTTTGGCCTAAGGATGAAGTCGGCCCAAAAAGAGGCCTGGAGGAATAGAAGATCAAGGCCCGGCCGAAACTTGGGAAAGCAGGAAAGGGCCTTTTCTGACTTGATACAATTCATAAGGGCCACTTGCCTACCTACCCAAGGACAGAGTGGTGTAGACTGATCAGACTGCACAGCCCATAAAGTACTTTATGGTGGCATTATATGTAATAAAGCTGATGAGTCATCACCCTCAAACCACATTCGGGCAAAGCTGTTGCTACAGGAGCCAAACCGAGTCGTCTATAAAAGGAGGAAGAAGACAGGAATAATGACACTCAATCAAACAAACAAAAGCACAAACTCTGCTCAAAAAGCCAGATTTGCCTTTCAAAACGAAGCTGTAGTCAGCCCAAGCCTTCATCCCATTCGGGACAAGCCTTCATCCCCCGCGGGATAATCTTTTCTCCCAACCTCTGTAATAGCTCTGCTACCTTGTTCGAACTTGTTGTAGTATCGATTCACCTTTTGTATTCTCCTTTCCCCCCTCTGCCCCTCTAAGCTTTCAGACCTTTGACAAAACTACATAGATAGGGACCTGCAAGACGATCAGCCTTAATTGATA